AACATTTCTGGGGAAAAAAATTACATCTGGCACACAGCAATTCACCTGCCCTGTAGGCTGTCTCAGGCGAGGTTTGAGGTAACAGCAGCAGGCAGCTCTCCATTTTTCACAATTTTCATCCTTCAGGGGTTTCTTTGCTCTCCAGCTTGTAAACAAGATCTTGCCAGGCAGGAAAACACACCAGGAAAGCTGAAAATGATCATAGCAACCTCAGCAAACTCAGCTTTCCACACCAGTACAGCAAGGCAAGAAGAATACCCAATACAAGACACCAGTTTCTTTTTAAAATAGTTTGTTCCAAATATTTTCTTTCTCCTTTTTGAAAAAAAAAAAAAAGGGAGATAACTCCTGCAATCCTGCCTGCATGTTTGTGAACAGGAAGGGGAAAAATAAAAACAAACAAAAAACTCAACAAAGTTCTACCTACTCATTTACACTTTTTCACTGAATCTTTCTAGATGCCTTTAGCATCAAACCACAGCTGACTACAGCAGTGTGTAACCTCACATTGTACCTAAATCGAGCTCACCATAACGTGCTCTCAAAGCAGCAGGCAGCAGGTCACTGCCTCCAGCCTTCCTCCTTAACACAGAGCACACACCGAGTTGCCCACAACTCTGCCGAGCCTGCAGCTGGGGAACGAGCCAGCCAGCTCCCAGAGCAGGTGAAAACCATTCCACCCACACAGGGGAAAAGGCAGAACCCGCCCCTGAGAGCAGCAGCCTTTAGACTGGAATAAACGGATTCTAAGACTTTACCTGAAAGCCGTGTTTTATGGATGCTGTAACAGAAATAGCACGTGCAAACAAATGACAGTTTGTTCATCAGCTTCAGGAGTTTTATTTCCATGAAAATTTAACTATATTAAAAGACTCTCTCATCCCGGTTCTGCACGGGCAGTCACGTTTGTAAATATGCACAAAACTTTCCCTGCAATGGCTTTTCGAAGACCTACCTGAAACAAGCCAATGTCAGAGATTCCACTCTTTGCAAACAGTGCACACCAAAACCTTCACTTTTTTACTCTTGCTCTACACCTGCTAGGTGCTAGGCAGCCTACAGACAATGGGAACGGAGGTGTCCCTCTGGTGAAGGCCCCTCCAGGAGCCCTGCTCTGCTACCTACGGTAGCTGTTTTCTGCAGCTGTTGTTTCTTCTCAGAGAACGAGCTCCCTCTGTTTTTTTTTTTTTATTTTTGAAGAATATCTGATTACAACGAGGAGAAACCTACTAGTTTTCCATGTGACGTTTGCTTAGCAGGTAGAATGGTGAGTGCCATACTTTAGCACTGAATATCTACGTTCTTCCCCCATCATCACATGGATGTTGAAAAGCAATGTGTGAGCGAGGTGTAAACCAAACTCTTGACACAGAAGAGCTTTAAGAGGCAAAGGGAGCCCAGTCTCGTGGCTGTCACCGGTTGAAGGGATTGCTGGTGTTGTCATCACGGGGATGAAAGTGGGCTGGCTGGAGCACAGGCTGCCATCATCAGTGATAAAAATAAATCTGGTTTACACCGTAGTCATAAAATCAGCAGTACATCACTTTTTAGCTCTGATTCTGTCTTGTCAAACAATGACGTGTATATATGTATGTGTTCTTTAAAAGAATTTGTTTGATCTTTTCGGTTTATGGCAGGAAGAAGCTATTAGAAAGAACAGGAAACATTTCTTCTCTTCCAGTTGTCAGAAACCGCTACAGCTCACATCTGTGCAGCAGGCACGCAACTCGGCTGTCACTCTGCAAGGGCACTTCGTTAAGTTTCTGCAACATTATTAGTGGACCCTGCAGGGAGCATCTGATGCTCCTGGTGTTTCAAAGTCCATGGAATCAGCTCAGGGAGCCAAAACCACTCTTTTTAGCAGGGCATAACAGCTGTACCTGGGATGAATGCTTCTGCTCCCTTGGGGAAACCAACAAACGTCGATATCTGGCTACAGGGCAAAGTCGCACATCCTTCAGCTCTGTTTTACAGGAATTTAAAAATCATCATTAGTTCACTGCAGTGCAGACTAGGTACTCACTCAGTGTTTCCCAGGAAAAAAAAAAAAGAAAATACAGTTTCTGCTGCAACAATGTAACAATTACTAATATAGAGAATAAATATTTAAGATATACAAAACATAAGAGTATCAAATAATCTAATAATCGTCTGTATTTTAAAAAGATATGATGAAACTAATCTCCTTGGACATTGTGTTTTACTAAACAAGTCTTTAGTATCTTAAATGCTTGTACACATGTATTTGCAACTGCCCACAGGCGCACATGGGCCAGAATCTTCACTCAAATATAACTGAAACTTAGAAACCTCAGCAAATGTGTCCATGTATTGAGAAATTCGAAGTCCAGTAAAAACTCACAATTTGGACAATAAACTGGCTTTGGCAGCAAGGGTGGCTTACAGGGCTCTCTCTTTCCTCTTTCATTCCTTCCCCCAGCTCCCGGCTCCCTGGCAACTCTCTGGGCTTCAGTTCTGCACTGAGGGATTGCTGTGACTGTGCTGGATCGGTAAGCTGTTCAGAGGAAAAAAAAAAGGGTTTCAGAGGAAAAAATCAACGGCAACATAAACTCCAGTTTTCTCCCTCTTTATTATAGGCTACTGCAGAGCGAAGGAAGTCCAGTTTGTCAGAAGCTGCTCAAGAACTGCCTAAAGTTATAAATACATTCATGGGAAGACTCTATGGCTTCAGTACTGTTAAGAATCCCTGCATTCCCACAGCCACTCTCGGAGCATTTTAGCTCCTATTTATGCAGTGAAAATGATCACATTTTCTAAAGGGTCAGGCAGTCAACATGCCATAGTCAAATCAACTGACCTGTTGAACATTGCCACAGGTCTAGACCAACCAGTTACTAAAAATGTGAAAACTTAGCCCTAGGATCCTTTGAAAGCCTCCACAGCATCTAGAAGCGTAGAATCGTAGCATCACTTAGCTTGGAAAAGACCTTTAAGATCATTGAGTCCAGCCATGAACCTAATGCTGCCAAGTCCACCCAGTCAGACACCAGGATGAAGGAAAATAAACAAGATTTAGCCTTCTTCTACCCCAAAGCACGGCAGGACGCTAACTAGCATTATCCTTGCCCACGAGATGAGAAGCAGTTGCCATGGTGGCCCTGCAGCCACCGCGACAGCAGCTCCCAGCTTGGCCAGCGGAGCACGAGGCAGTCTGCACCGGGTTTCTCCCTGTCATTGCAGTCCGTGAAGGTGCCTCCTCAGTGATGCATCAGTCCAAGCTGGATATATTTGGACTTTGACTCCTCTGCTTAAATTTCCAACAAATCAGCTAATAAACGTGGGAGGTTTATGATCAGGCCGTGAGACTATGCAAAAGAGCGGGCTGTCTCTGGTTAGGGCTAGGTTTAAATCTACAGTTAAAATTATCTTCATGTCCTTTCACCTGTTTCATGAACTTTTCAGTCTACTTCAGTGAAATTTTTAAAAGATACATGTTTAAGAACACTCTCTTCAGTGCAATGTATATATAAAAATAGGCAAGATTATTCTGGCACTCACCCTACAGAATAATAGTTAAGGATTTGCTATGCCTTCAGCATCCAGAAGTACCACTCGTGTCCTGTTCAGCCCTGGATTACTCAAGATAGGCTTAATTGTTCTCAGCTTGTCCATTGGTTTTAGTAAGGTAAAGCAAATATCCACTTTATGTTGGATTATTTTCCTACCATTTCAGCTCGCTGGCTGGACCCACCACAAGATCTGATAACATCAAAAGTCAGTGCAAAGGAGAGAGCAGG